AACCACTGGAAACCGACCCAGTGGCTGAATGGTTAACGTGTCCGCCATGAAACCTGGAGGTCCTGAGTTCGACCCTAGCCGGGTCGTGGGTGCGTGCTGCTGCGGAGTCCCATACTAGGATGAAACAGCTGTCCAGTGCTCCCAGATTTTCAATGGTTCCCCAACTAATTAGGATAGTTTCTCACAGACCCCCTGTGGAGGCATTCAGTCCGAATTTTTTCCCTTCAAAATAAACAAACATACTTGACCACCCAGGTAATGTGCGAAATTCTTTCAGAGGCATTGACTAAGCCAATATTCCGCTGTAATACATCATTCAGCCTTTTTCCTATCTAGCCATTATCTACGTGGTATTTAAGTAAATAATCACTAAAAATGTTTGCATTTTAAGACTGTCACGAACGATGGTCTATAAAAACAATCTTTTTTACTCCTTTATACACTAATGTGTATCACTTGGGAAAAACTAGCTCTAAATTTGCCAGAATTGTCATGGATGCTTACCGTAACCATCTTCAATTTGTTTGAAGTAGTGGCAATACACATTCTCGGCTAGGTAACTAGTCCACTAGTTACTAGCCCGTCCAAGCTCTGATAAAGAAGGAAGGTTGGGCATAGGGCTAACAACCCTAACTCGGAAAACCAATCTAACCGCCAAAGAAACTTCGAAGCAAAGAGAAAATATAAAACATAAAATCAGACTTATTCATCGCTGGAATCGGAGAGGCAAAATGGCGCCATTTGGTGAAAGCTTTCGGGAATCCAATTGGCCGATGTGTCTTCTCTCACTCAGTGAAAGCAAAAGTAAGAATGGGGATATAGAATGTCTGCACAATATTTGAAACTGGCTGGCAAGGCTGCCCAGATTGCCAAAGAGATGAGAAGGCATGGCACAGAATACAAGTGCTAGGAATCTGCGAGAGTAGATGGGATGGAAGTGGACTCTGCAAACTGTCAACTGCAGAGTCAACAATCTACTCCGATATTGTCATCCAGATGACAACCACGAGCACACTGAGGTTCGGAGTGGCTATCATGATGACCTCAACAGCATTGAAGGTTCTCTCTCATGCAGTGGGAACCAGTCTCCTCCGGCAGGATCAGGATTATGACAACAATATTCAACTTTTAGGAATTGTCCTGGTGCGAACTTGACAGACGCAGAGGCCAATCAATTATTCTAACTTATTATATACCTACGGATACGAGACCAATAAAGAACAAAATGGCGTAGTCGGAAGGAATAGTACGTTTACGAGGTCACGCAAAGATACCGGTAAGTTCCAAGGAACTGGCTAGATAGTTGATGACAAGCCATGCAACGTAACACGACAGCCTGCCAAATGGCGAGTATGCTTTATCGAGTGCCTTCAGCTCAACGAGTCCGGTGAAACCATCAAGGCCAGCATCAATGTTGAATCACGTCGAACGCTAGGCTGTTGATTCTGGAGAATTTCGTGACTCTACAGTTCACTTCCCCGTAGTGGGTTGGTGGGTACCCTTAGACAATACCAGCCGGAAGTAAAATCCCAGTGGCTTATTTACTGGCAAAACTCTTCCTATGGGCTCACCGCAAGAAGTGGCCCCTGGTCGTCTGAGCCTATTCTAGGGTGTCGTGGCGAATGAAAAAATAGAATACAATAGATCAAATTGTACGTCGATCGCCATCCTCAGTGTCCTTAGACGTTCTGTCCAGTGCCCATTGTACCTGGAATAAAAGTAAAAGCCTTTAGTACCAGGAAAACGTTTCGTGAAGATGAGAAACATTTATATATAAATATATAGAAAATAAAGCTTATGCTTATTTACTTTCTCTTATCGAAAAAGTATGACTACGTGGTAGTAAAAAATTGATATAAAACGGTAAACTGTAGGAGGATTTTAGCATTCCCAGTAAACGAGGCCACGAAAAAATAATTTTGAACTTAAACAAATGGTTGGCACATTTTATTTCACACTACTTAGTTGAATATGACTTCAGAAACTCCGGGAACCTGACGGTTCCATCTGATCGTTTTCTTTGTTGTGCCGGTGGTTGGTTTAACTGTGCATTACCAGGCACATCGTCAAGAATTTCGATAATTGGGCTATCCACTGGTCGGCTATAGTGAGTTGAAACGTCACTTATGATGGGGTTGCCTTCGAAATAAGCTGGTTTCAAACGGTCGGTACTAACGGTATCTTCGCGTTTGTTCCGCTGGATTATGTAGAATTCCTCACGTAGCTTGATCACTTTGAATGGTCCATCGTAAGGTGGCTCAAGTGTTTGACGAACGGTGTCATGATGGATGAACACGTGTGATATCTCTTGTAAACTGGGGCGAACGAAGTCACTAGTTGCTTGAGGTCTAACAGGAGTAGGCCTAACTGAACGCATTGCGTTTGTAAGTCTGGTCACGTAAGATGCCCTGTCGGAAACATGTTTAAAAGTTGAAGGGGAAACAAACTCACCTGGTAGGCGAAGAGTGGTCCCATAGACGAGTTCTGCAGGAGTGCATCCAGCATCAACTTTCAACGCGTTACGAATACCTAGTAGGACTAAAGGTAGAGCCTCGGTCCACTGAGGTATGCTTGCGGCTGAAAGGGAAGCTTTCAGCTGTCGCTGGAAACACTCTACTATGCTATTTGCTTGTGGATGGTAGGCTGTCGTTCGGAACCGGGTGCAACCTAAAAGTGCCGTTAGAGCGTGAAATAATCCACACTCAAATTGGCGCCCACGGTCGGCTGTGACGTAAGATGGACATCCAGAGTTCGCGATCCATCTTTCGACGAAAACACGTGCTACTGTTTCAGCAGTAATATCCTTAATAGGTACTGCTTCCGGCCATCGTGTGAAACGATACACGCAAGTGAAAAGGAAGGTGCATCCATTAGATTCTGGTGGAGGTCCTACAATGTCTATATGGACGTGGTCGAAGTGCATGTCTGGGGCCAGAAAGGTACCCAAGGGACTTTTCGTGTGTCGCGTGACCTTACACTTTTGACAAGCTAAGCACGACTGAGCCAACGCCTTAACGTCTTTGTTCATCCCAAGCCAGCAGAAACGTTGTGCAACAAGCCTGATGGTGGCTCGTACACCTGGATGAGAGAGTTTGTGCAACGTATTGAAGACGTTGCGTCGACTACTCTTCGGAACTGTTGGGCGTGGTTGACCAGCACAGACATCGCACAAAATTGTACCCTTGCCTGATCATACTGGACACAGTTGTAGCCTTAGTGTTGTGGATGACAACTGATGATGCAGCCCAAGTTTTCCTTTCTGAGACCTAGCTATCTCAATGAAATCAACGCCTTCAATACAGTTTATCGAAGCTATTCGTGATAGGGCGTCAGCTATGGAGTTATTTGCTAGAGAAATGTAGCGGATATCTGGGAAATGCTATCCAGTTGTCGCGACTTACGAGGGTAGGATTTTTCAGACTCCGAGCCGAGAGAAAATGTTAACGGTTTGTGGTCTGTGAAAATAATGAAATCACGACCTTCCACAGAATGTCGAAAATGATATACTGTATCTCGTTTCCACCTCTTGCAGCCACCTCGGGTAAGACGCTAAAGGTTGCCACTGGTTGTCAGTCAATTGTTGCACAACTGCTCCGATCACTGAGTCAGATGCATCAACAGCAATACTCAAAGGAGCATTAGGGTCATGATGCCTGAGCATAGTTGCGTTCGAAATGGCTCCCTTGATTTTAGAGAAAGCAAGTCTAGCCGCGTTGTCCAGAGACACGAACTTCGTAGTTCCTCGAAGTAGACCTGTGAGTGGTTTCATGACAGAGGCATGGTTGGGGATAAACCTTCGTTATTAACTTACCAGGCCATTGAAAGCGCGGGGCCGATTACAGTGCTCGGCACTGGATAGTTCATGATAGCCGCCACTTTATCTATGAATGAGCGTATACATTTATTGTCAATGGTATGCCCATGGAAGCTGAGTGATTCAATTCCTCTTTCACACGAACAAACACAAAAGGAAGGAATGTCACAATCATGCAGTCCCACGCTATGCACCTACAAATAATGCAGATCAAGAGAAGAATGAGTAATGCTACAGACAACTGCAATCAGTACTGGACAAGACCACACCCCAGTTGGTGATGGCCACATAAAAATTCATTTTAATGGGTGGCGTGATATGAATGTCAAACTGCGGGTAGCGGACTACACACGAAGAGAACCAATCACGCGTCGAGAAGCACCCGGTGGAATGAATGAGAATGGAGAACTGTTTCCAGACTTCTGCGCATTCAACGACTTAGTGATTAGAGTCCGGCAGTGTGTAAAAACACAAGGATATTCACAAGGTAGCGACATGGAGTTGATTTCACCAGACACCAATACACCAACAATCAGATCGACTTCATTAGCATGTGAAGAAAGTGGAGACCCAGGCAGCCGACTGGAAACAAGATGAGATCAAGAAGGGGAGCAGATGTAGGTTCACACCACTCCACTATCTAGAGCAAGGAACCTACCTAGCGGTGATATTTTGTGGGAAACCAACCTATCGGTTTCAACAATGCAGTTATTTCGCGTTTGAAAAGATGTATTGCCCACAACTTTATGATTACTCTGCTTTTAAATCGTGTATGTTGTCACAGAATAAAAGGAACCAAATCTCAGTGCTAAAATTCAGCAACTATCTTCCTATCTAATGCCTCTTCCCAGATCTGCCCTCTTTCGAATTGATCGTTTTTACTTGTTTTTTTACCGTAGAAATACCATTAATTCATCAAATAACAATGTTTTCACATGTTGCACATTGCTCCAAAGGTCTCAAACTAATAAATTTGTTGCCTCTTTAGGCAAAACCATTATATTCCTCACATGAAAATGAGTTGTTTTGCGTAAAATAGAGGGTAACAAGCAAGTACAGTGAGCTTGTAACCTGAAAAGTTTCTGTGGGCATCTTGTCTAGCATTCCGAATCCCTCAAGGTCGTCACTCACGTTTTGGGGTCAGCTCGGGGCGCGGTTTTTGGAGTCTCAAAATACCTTCAAATGTATGGAGGTTGATAATCAAAAGACAGAGCATGAAAATGAGGTATCACAAGAACATAATAGTGCTGGAGAAGTCTTATCTCGACAGGAAAATAGTGAACGGAAGGACGATGATGAAGAAGAAGAGGAGGAAGAAGAGGAAGACAAAATAGTAGAAAAATCACACAACAGCCGTTTTCACAAGCGAAACAAGCGTTTCCCAAAGCAAATAGAGGGTGTCGACAATGCGTTTGTGGCAATAGAACCTAAATCAGGAAAGGAGGTTATATGGAATGAATGTATTTTACCAGAGAAAAAGACAGACAAAGAAGTAGCTGACACTTTCAATCTCTAATCTTAGCTAATTTCTTTTAGAACAGATACTTATCCCTTGTAAAAAAGCTGAAAAAGAATTCACATCCCTTCCTTGTACGCTTCCTTGATGCTTGGGTGTCCAAAACAGAAGAAGGACCTCGCAAACTTGTTTTCATCACTGAGCGTCTTGATGAGTGTACCTTGAAACAATTCTTGTGCAATTCAGCCAAAAATAACCGCGTTAGTATCTTAAATAGTTTTATTATTTTGTAGTTGTGGAAAAGACATGTTGGACAACTTCTGTCTGTGTTGATGTTTCTTCACCGTCTTGGTGTGGCTCATGGGAACTTAACTAAGGAGTCAATCTACTATCAGAACTCTGGGAATCTCAGAGTCGGGCTATGTAAGTTGTTAAACCAGTGGATTTTTACTTCTAGTTGCCCTTGGTAGGTGTCTTGATCAAAATCTGAGGCTTTTGATGTATATTCTCTGGGTATTGTATGTTTGGAGGTAAACAAAATGGACATGTTTTATGTTTTTGGAATGGCTTTAGATAGCAGTCTGGACCCCTTCTGAATTTCCGCAAAACTTGGATTTGAGTGAAAGGTGTCATCAAATGATGTCGCGTCTGGATAATGCCAACCAAAAGAGCTTTATTGAAGCTTGCTTTGACACTGGTTCGACGACAAGAAGCCTCATCAAACGTCTAGTTAACCACCCAGCAGTTAAGGAAGTGCCAATTTTAAAACTGCTTTCAGCCAGGATGGTCGTCAACTCAAGTGAGTTTTAGTTACTAAGTAATTCCGTAGTTCCTGCTAAAGCTGTTTTTGATAATATTAGTTACTCTTATTGAGTCGATTGAATTACTAACCACTCTGTCATCACAGGACTTAAAATAAAATTTTTACTTCGATACAATTCTGGCTGGAATTCATAATGATTTTCTTGATAAAAAGTGTGTTTAATTTCACAAAGTAGATTTCGAGTAGTTATCTTTGAAATCTTGCCATCGTGTTTAGCTGCCTTGGCACAGTCCGACCAAAAGCAGTACTAGCTCACTGTCCAACTGTCAGTCTAATCCTTGCGAACCACTGTAATATTCTTTCATAAGGCTAAAAAACATTAAAAAATTTAAACCGGCAATCTAATGTGGTACTGGTCGGAAGAGACAAAAATGTCATTTGACTAGCACTGGAATTTGGGCTAAACCGAATGTAAAAACCGACTACACTAAAGTAAGAGAAGCAGGGTTGAAATTGGGACCTAAAGCTAGAGTTCTAACTATTATGTACAAGCATTTCTTATCGATTTTCCCCCAAGTTTTGGAAATATTGTTGCCTTGTGCCTATTCCTTTGTTCATTTATCCTGTTCTTATGAAACTTACTTTCTTTATGCTGGTGATTTCATATTTCGGCAACTTGGACCAATTCATTTCTGTGTAAAACCCAGTTCTACGTATACTACTAATACTTTTGTTTTTGATTTATTTCTTTTGGTCTCATTTTCACTTCAATCACCAAGTGTGATGACTGACCCACTTTTAAAACTGACTGTTTAGTTTTTATAAGTGTAAAGCTTGAGCGCTGGTAGGACTTTATATTAGGTTTATTTATTGTTTATAACAGTGATATAGCATTATGTACTTGATGACGTTTCATGCATAAATTATTGCTTTTAATCATATCAATGTCAACCCGATTGATATGATAAGTTGTGCTCAAAATGTCGTCAAGTAAATAATTCTGTATCACTGTTATGATCAAACCAACTAATCTACTATGTAACTAACTATTTAGTATTTCTCCATCTAGAATAACTAAAGCTAAGTACAAAGGGAGCTTTCTAGGCTACCTTAGATTAGTTTTATTTGGCGCAGTCATATAGTACTTCAATATCAAAGTAGCGAGTGTATTAAAAATACCAATAACCATGGAATCTGGACAAATGCTCGATTTAGCTTTTGTTTATGAGTTTCCTAACTTTACTGGTATTAAATGCTAAGTATCTTTCGGCGATTTAATTCTTCTCTCATTTGTCTTTCATCTCCTAAAGCCTTACAAGTACAAACAGGCAGATGTCAGCAACGAAGACTTGACTTGTCTAGTGATTGTGCAAGTCGCTACACTTCCCACCAGTGTATAAAGGCGGTCGAAAAGCGGGAAGGCGAATATATGAATGTTTTAATGTCAGAAGTAAAAAGAAGCCATGAGATGATAACCAAAGGAGACTACTAATATTTCTTGGAGCGAAAGCATTAATACTGGCCAGTTAAAAAGTAATAATGTAAATAAATAAGATGTAACGTAACTCAACCCGAGACGTGTTTATGTATTAGGCTATAAGCCACATGTGCAAGCGCTTTTGGTACTACTCGGTTGTTCAGGTTTACGTGGTGACGCGTAAAGTATGGCTGAATATGCATCGAAAACGTTCTTAAACAGCTTCTCAAAGGTTCCAGAAGAAATTTCAATTTTCCAGTGTTTTCATCCAAAAGGATTTTATAGTCTACTCGCCCTAGATCTTTCCTGCAAAGGATCGGTTCCTGTAAAGCCAGAAAGAGAAGTCCTCTGTAAACACTGCCTAAATAAAAGCAGATCTGACATCCTTGATAGACACCACTCGAAGTAGACAAGTCGCATAATACCTATTTCAGATCTCTAACACGACCATAAGTGTTCAATTGAGGAATCTTCAACAGTGTGATGTGCTTATTGTGCACCCCTTTTGCTGGAGAATTCCCAATCAATGGAGTCGACCACTTTTCAGGTTAGCAAATCGAAGTATTGTCGGGCAAAGGTACCTGACAGAGAATGGTTGCCAGGTAGTGGCTGGTAGTGGGAAATCTGAAATCTACAGGTTTCACATTTCATATCTCCACTTGAGTGACCAGTAACTATAAAATGCAGATGCCTTTGATGGTGAAACTGAGTCCTCTGCTGAAATCAGGGCGACGAGACCATCGACCCTCTATTAAACAGAGAGTATACCGTTCGACAGTCTAATTTATCTTACTATACGGCTGCGAAACATGGTCTCTGAAAGTTCAAGATATGAACGGGTTACAGGTTTTCGAGTACAGGTGTCTTCGTAGCATTTCTCACGCTTAGTAGAATCATCGTGTAAGACATATCGAATATGTAAATGAGCTTCACCTTTCAATCTTATCACAGAGTAAAAACAACTGACTGACTTTCGCTACTGCAAATCGTAAAACTTCGTTGCCTTTAACATGATCATTTTGGAAGCAGGAAAAAGTTTTCTTGTCCTACTGAGAGACAGCCTTTGTAAATCTTAACTAGGGTGTCTAAAGCATCTATAAAAAAGGTTTTTCTGAACACAAAATGTGAAGTTTGAACTAAGAAAAGTGACACATTTACATAACAAAGTAGTGCTACTATGTTCTAATAACCAATTCTTCCAACTGAAATTGTCTCATAGCAGCCCTGTTCCAATACTCACAGTTATTTTGTTCTGCAATGAAAATACATGGGAAAACAAGACCTATTATGAAGGTAAATTATATTGAATATCACCTAAAGGGGCGATGCTACTGCAACACTTGTTCCCTCGAAATCTTACTCTCTCAGAAAAATGTGTCAGAGAGTGATAAAAATAGTCAGTTACTCTTATCTTGTAAATTACTTTGCTGTGATGGGATCTGGCAGTGAAGTGGTATTTCTGACTGGACAATATGTGTGACGTCAATAAGATGTTTCCCATAGATGATCCGAAGTGCAACACTGAAGTTGTCTTCCCTATTGGAAGCAGGGAGGAGTAGAAAAGGTTGGTCCCAAAAATAGCACACCACTTTACCTCATGGCACACCGATGCGGGTTCATAATAGGATTCAGGAGAACCAACGTAAACTATCAAACTTCTGGTAAGGTCGTTTGTCACCTACCTCAACCGGACATACTCTGAACTCTGCCATCATGCACCACTAGTGCCGACCGAGTTTCTTTTTCAGATGCCTTAAGAAAAAGTAACCCTCCACAGTGGGAGCGACCAGGATGGGTCAGTCGCCCTCACAACTCTGTCGGCACTCACTCAATTCCCTTCATATCATCGTCAGCCTTCCACACCCTTAATTTCTAATCTACCTTCATTCCTCTCGGTCAACATTCCTAAATCACCTTTAGTTTCTTCCACCTCTGTGGTCATTGATAACGGTCGGAGATCATGGAGTAGTACATCTGGTCCCCTGAGACCGCGCTCCAAACTATACATTAGAGCTTCCAATGCCTGCACTCTCCGTCGAACCGGTCAACAAGCTTCACTAACCCGAACTCTGGCATCTCGAGTCATGCATGTGTGCTGTGTCTCCGAGACACGCATACAGGATGCAAGTGTGGCTATTCACCTAATCTCACCCGATCAAGATGGTGAATTCGAAAATGCATCCTTCGGGTTTCTGGAGATTTGATGACCAGTTCTCGTGTCCTTGCAGGTGTAGGCATAGCATTGAGTGCTAAGGCAGAAAGTGCATTGATCAACTGTATCCCAGTTGACGGTCGCCCATGAGCTGTTCGACTGAACAGTACAGTGAGGGCTGAAGAGAAAGGCGAAAATCGCCGTTGTTTGTTTGTAATCTCTGCTTATCCACCCACTGATTGGAGTTCGGAAGAAGTGGATTATGAGTTCTACTGAAAACTGTCTAGCTCCCTTCTTAAAGCCAAACATTCATAAGTCGTTGTTATAGCAGGTGATTTCAGTGCACAAGTGGGTAGGCTAAGTCGAGTCAAGAAGAAAGCTAACTGGATGGCACTTTTGGGATCCCAGAGGAACAGACAGATAGTGGTGACCGCCTGTCAAATTTAGTCGGGCAACCATCTATTTCTGTCTAACACGAACTTCAGACACAAGGACAGATATAACTTGACGTGGAATCTGCCAACATCAACCAGGTAGTGGACACAGATAGATCATATTGCTGAGTTATCTCAGGAGCGTGACGGTCAGAGATTGCTGCTCCTTCTGGAGCATTTGCGTTGGTTCAAACGCAGGCACAATTGTACCTAAGAACACTCAGCAGCTCGACA